TATTTAAAGGACAGACACAGAGAACACGCAACAGAGAAAGGGAAGTACTAGACCCTTAGAAAAATTTAGTTTTATTTCTCTTTAAAAAAAGGGTCACCTTCTTCTTCATCTTCTATCTCTCACCACTCCCTATTTCTCTCTCTACAATAAACTCCAGTAACTCATCCAGCAGGACCGGCGAGCATACACGACCAACCCATGCAAAGCCTCGGTGACCTCTGTCAAAACCATTATAGCAGCAGCCATTGATGGAGATAACTGCTCCTGTGTTGTCTCCATCAATGGCTGCTACTATAATGGTTTTGACATTCTTCCTCAAGCTGAAGGGAGTTTCACGGATGCCCAGCTTGGTTCTCAAGTTTTTAAATGTTGCTTTTTGTAGAGGTTTAGTAAATATATCCGCTAGTTGGTCTTTGGATGGAACAAAACTAGTTGTTAGGAGTCCAAGGCACACCTTTTCTCGAACAAAATGGTAATCCATCTCTATGTGCTTTGTTCTAGCATGAAACACTGGATTTTTGGCCATATGTAGAGCACTCATGTTGTCACACATCAATTGAGGTGGTTTGGATAGCTTGACTCCAATATCTTTTAGTATGAATGTGATCCAAGTCAAGTCAGCTGCTRTAGTTGCCATGGCACGATATTCGGCTTCARAACTTGATCTAGCTACTRTAGTTTGTTTCTTGGAGCTCCAAAAGATGCAATTTGAGCCTAAGAAAATGCAACATCCTGAGGTGCTTCTTCTTGTGTCAGGACAGCCTCCCCAATCTGCATCACAGAAAGCATAGAGATTTAGTGAACTATTTTTATAAAAAGATATTCCATACCTTAGAGTGCCCTTTAGGTATCTTAGGATATGCTTGACCATATTTAGGTCCTTTTGTTTGGGATCATGTAGATGTTGACAGGCTTTGTTAACAGCAAATGTGATGTCTGGCCTTGTGAGTGTTAGGTATTGCAAAGATCCCACTAAACTTCTGCATTGAGTTGCATCAATTTTCTCATTGTCGTTTGAGGAGCTTGAAGTGGAGGTTGACATGGGTGTGCTAAGTTGTGAGGCTTCAGACATTCTTGCTTTATTTAGTATTTCCTTGGCATATTTTCTTTGTGATAGCATGAGATCAGTGTTAGTTTGGTGTACCTCTATGCCAAGGAAATAGTGTAAGGGGCCAAGGTTCTTTAGAGAAAATTCGGATCCTAGCTGTGACATGAGTTCTTCAACATGCTTTGAGCTTGACCCTGTCATAATTATATCATCCACATACACAAGCATGAGAGTGAGTACATTGTCATCTCTATATATAAAAAAAGAGGGATCAGAGTGCGAGCAGATAAAGCCAATGTGAAGGAGGAATTGAGATAATCTCTCAAACCAGGCCCTAGGTGCCTGTTTCAGACCATATAAGGATCGGTTGAGCTTGCATACGAAGTGTGGTTTTTCTAGAACTTGAAATCCAGGTGGTTGAGACATGTAGACTTCTTCCTTGAGAAAGCCGTGGAGAAATGCATTTTTGACATCTAGTTGTTGCAAGGGCCAGTTGAAGGTCACTGCCAGTGCAAGGATGAGCCGAATTGTTGTTGGCTTGATTACAGGACTAAAAGTTTCTTCGTAGTTCACTCCTTTTATCTGAGAGTATCCTTGAGCGACCAATCTTGCCTTGTAACGTTCAATTATTTCATCCTCCTTTAGTTTAGTTTTGAATATCCACTTTGATCCAACTATATTGATGTGTGGTGGCGAAGGTACCAAATTCCAAGTGTTGTTTTCTTGAAGTGCCTGCATTTCTTCCTCCATAGCAGACTTCCAATGAGGAATTTTTAGGGCTGCCTTATAGTGTTTTGGTTCTACATCATGATTTGAGCTTATGAGAGCATGTTGGTGGTGATTGGTGTCTTTCTGACTTTGTGTTTCCTGATGTAGGTTGGAGTTAAGGAGCAGATTATTATTCAATTTTCTTTTGGTTATCATCGGATGCGTGCTTGTATTTTAAACATTATTTTCTCCAGATGATCCAATGATTGAGTTGAGATTAGGTGTACCTGCAAAAGAATAAGGTAGGTCAATATAAAGGCTGTTACTTATATTAGGAAGTGTTGATACCTGATGTGAGTCAAGTAGTTGTAGATTTTTGTCAGATTGGAAGTTTGTAGCCATTTGCAACAAGTTGTCCTCTTCTGTTTGAGGTTCATGTAGTAGACTTGACATTTGG